TCCTGTTTTTATCAGGCAAATCTATCAGGACATTCTCTGGGGGACAGAAGTTGGAAGGGAAGCAACACAGGAATATCATCTGCTGTGTAGGTGGGCTTGACATGGTTACTCCATTGTGGGACCTGATCCCAGAACTTAAACTCCATTCCTTAAATGCCTATCCACTTCAAACACAGCGATGGAGGTTAACCTGAGGGCAGGGGTTAGCCTATAGCAGCAAAATCCCTAGGGATGATGGAGCAGGAGGGGAAAAAAACCTCTTTACCATTGTTCCAAGGCTGCCATTTCGATACAAAACAAAGTCTTTTTGAGACTGGTAGGTAAAGTGAACAAATTTGGTAAAGAGCTCACTGATCCCCTGAACAGTGGTTCCCCGCAGGGCCATTTTTACAGACTTTTTTTCAGAGTAGAACCACAGTTTAAGGGGAAAATAAGGGCAGATGTAGAACAACATGGTAGTTTTGAGAAGCGCACGCGTACGAACGGCAGGAAATTAAATGTAAAGGTTATAGTTAAAACAACATTTTTTTGGAAAGTACCAAAAATAACCTACAGAGTCTCTAGAGATCTTCAGAGTGTATCCTGTCAGGAAGCGAACGTTGATGGCCATCAGGGCACCTTTGCCCTTGTCCCTTCGCTTCCTGCTGGCTCTGCACCCTTCCCACTGCTCCATTTCAGAGCACCATGGGACAAGACGCCAAGACAGATCTCCTGAGCCTTCCAAAAGTTTGGGACTTCGTGCTGCTTCACTCTCTGTTCTCCTGTTCCTTTCCGGGACTCTCACTTGGACACACAACAGAAAATGAGAAGTTTCAGCAGCGCTGCTCTTCTCTAATGAAAGCAAAGCGAGGGGGGAAAGATGAGCTTGTGTGTAAGCACTAGCCTTGAGGGTTTTTAAAACTCACATTGCCCCCAGAAACACCCAGCTGGCCCCAAAAATGCCTTTAACCAAACCTCCAACGCCACACTTCTACCTGCTGCCTGGCCACCCAACGACAGAGGCTGATCAGTGAGTTCACCCACCTCAGTCACCATTACGAGGACAGGAAGGTGATCACAAGAACACCCCGAGGTGTTGCTGACGATGTGGTTTTGTTTGGCTTCTCACATTGCAAATGGCACCATTTTTAACAAGGTTGGTGTAAAGGAGATTAGAAGTGCCAAATTCTCAGAAGCACGACATCTTAGGTGATCGAGTCTGAAGCCTGTGCTGAGAGCAAGTGTATTTAGCTGTGTCAGATGGAGTCTGGACACAATCATGGTGTCACTCCTGGATAGGGAACCCTCTCTTGCTTATGCCACACAATTTTTGCTTGAGGACGTTTTAAACTGTGTTTCCAATGGAAAATAAATGTGTTGAGGCAGTTGGTATCTGCAGAGAACAGTGTCTGGCTGGCTGGTAGCTGATCCATTGGACCATTCTTCCTCCAGAATATTGGAAAAATTAATGGATTCCAGTCACACTTTGCTGAGATTTATCCCTTATTACTGTTAAGCAAAGGTGGTTGGGTAAGGGAGAGCTGGCTTTCCATTAGGACCCTCCTTGGGAAAATCTTCCATGTGACAATAGTCCTTATTAGATATCAAAAAAATCTGCATGGGAATCCATCACAGAGACCCAAATCTAGAAAAATCAGCCTACAGGGAATTGGCTGACAAGAAAAATCCTTGTTTTCAACTGCAGCAGCCACTTCTCTTCTCTAGGCACTAACTGCATGTTAAGTTTTCCTCTGCCACTATTTCAGGTGCACAACCAACCTCAGCTGATTCTTACACACTAAAAGAAAAAAATGAAAGGAAAAACCAAAATATTACTCAGCAGTTGTTTGGGATTTCTCCCTTGAAAAGGTGAACAATAAAAAATGGGTGCTTTGTGCTCTTGCTTCTAGCAAAAAGTGCTCTCACTTCTGTGCTTCTGCTTCCCGCAAAAGCATTCAGATGACACCACTCACACTCCTGGTCCGTGTAGTGCGTGGTGATGGAGGAGATGTTGCACTCCAGACTGCTGGTTGAGCACTTGCTGCTGGATTAGCTGCAATGCTCTTCTAGAGATGGCCACGAGGACCCACCAGTGCAACCTCCTTCAGAATGGCTCCATCCATGCCTTCGAATCACTGATTTGCTGCAACACGGTTCCTTTTTGAGGTCTAATATCTTCTGAGATCCAGTCCCAGGGCTGGGCTGCCTGTGACTAAAAACTCATCCTCCTCCCACACCCTTTTTCCAGTACCTGAAACCAAGATCCCTTTCCTAAAGGAGGCCCCATCCTCTAGGTTTATAGCCTTCTCAAAGAGGAACTGCCTGGAGACCTGAGATTAAAACCTGCTTGCCAGACCTGAGCTTGAGCCTTGAGCTGTTCTAGGAGAGCCAGGTGAGGATCAAAGAGTGTGGGAAAGACTGTGTGTGTGAAAGGATCCTCTCATCACACTGCCCCACACTAGCAGCCATCTTCACGCAGCCCAGATCAGACAGGAAACGTGATGTGCTGCACTTCAGAGAATTCTATTTGTGTATGGAAAAAGAGATGTCTGTGGGGATGCGTCTACGTGGCTGTTTGTGAACCAGGCGACCCTCAGGCTGTGGATCTGCATCTGAGAACCCATCTTGGCTTGGGAAGTGAAGGCAAAGCGTGGTGGGGAAGGCATCTGCTTGTGGCAAAGGGGTCTTCTAGAACTCCACGTGCCCTGTGAGGTGTTATCCACCTGCAAAGGAAGAAGGTGGATGTATTTTTTGCACCCTCCTCTGGCCTGTTGAATGGACAAGCCAACCCAAACAGGCACTGCAGCTACCCTGGGCTGGCGTTGCCTGGCTGGACTAGCTGTGAGGGTCAGCTCAGAGGGGTGAGTGTCCCTTCTGTGGGGTGGGGAGCCCACGGGACGCACGTTCCTGTGGTGTCACACCATCTGCAAGCGTGAGGGTTGTGCCCTGTGCTTGCTCACACTCAGCACTGCCCTTGTGCCACTCCTGCTCTGACCCAGGATGGATCCTCTGAAAGCAGGGCGCTGACGTGGAGGCTGGTTTCATTCTGCTGTTGCTCAGGGCAATGACTCCAGTGATTTTTCAGAAAGGGGTCCACACTGTTTCTACTGCAGATTGACTCCTGTCTCCTGTCCCAAAGTGGTCTATGTATGCGTGCTTAGACCCCAAAAGTGATATGAGTTATCTCCTTGGCTGTCTGAAAGAGGAAGTTATGGGTCTCTTGATGGTGTCCCAAGAGGACAGGTCCTTCTCTCCCTCTCTTTTTTTCCTTCCCAGCAACAGCTACAGACTGGTCCACTATATCTGAGCACTGCAAGCTAACACCTGATCCCTCCACCCTTGTTTCTGCACCTATTGCTTTACCAGCAGGAAGTGGGACGTGGTTTGGGGCTTTTTATTCTCGGCCTTGCTAGCCCTTTCGATACTTCAGGGCCTCGTCTCAGTCTGACAAGGCAAGCGAGCAGCAGCTTCCTGTGCAAAGGTGAGAGGGAGAAGACTCAGCCAGGCCACACACATATGAGGAGAACAGCTCCCCAGCAGAACCCCTGGGCTGGAGGCACCTTCCCTCCCATGCCAGCACCACTGCCTGGCACCTGACCATGCACTGAGCTAGAATACCAACCTTCATCCCTCTCCCTTTCCCCCTCCTCCCTGTTCTCCTGCTTCTATCCAACCCTACGACCTGGTCCCTGGGGGACCTCCATCGTCTGGACTGCCCAGTGCCCGGAGCTGGAAGGTAAAGGGGGTGATGCCAGCTCTCTCCTACACAGGGGTGGCTGCTCTGAAAAGCGTCTTGGAAGGAGTTTCAGTCTGACAAACTGAATCTTGGTGTTGGGGAGGGCTGAGCGCATATTTATCTCTCTGTCTCTCCACAGTCCTCTGAAACGATACACCAAATCTGGTAACCACACTGCCTGCTTTGTTTCTTTCTCTTTCCCCTTTGTCTGGTCATGCACTGCAATCATGTTTTTCTTCATCAGAACCTAATCTTTTCTCATGACTGGAATTGATATTAAGTCTCATGCCAGCCCTTTATAAACCCTCTCTTCCTACTCCCCCAGCAGTCTCAGCAGGGTCCCCAGGGTCCCTGGCTTCTTTTGCTCAGCTCTGCCTGGCCTCCAGGCTTGCTAGTCCCTTCTCCTGTGGGCAGACCTCAAGGTACAGATGTCCAGGTGGGTGGGGAGAGAGGGAGGCTTGGATAAGAGGCCTGTAAAGCCCCATCTGTCTGATATGGAGCTTTGTCTGGTCTTTGTAAGACAAGGAATCTCCCTCGGTGCCAAAGGTGGACACGGGATGCTGCAGTTCTCTAATTACAAAGCCCAGATTTCTTGCTCTACCTGAAAGCATGTCTCCTTCCAAGGCAGTGCAGGCTCTGCTTGGTGAGGTTGGGGCATGGCTTCTGCAGGACTATGTAATATTTTCTGATAAGGTAAAGTCTTGACTTTCCAGAACCTGTTAAACCATCTCTTCTCCTTGATTTCTCCTCCTGCCCCAAACAAGCCATTCAAAACCTACAACTAACCTTCATCAGTTGCAGCCAGGGACCCCTCTTACTCAGCAAGCACCTAGTTATTTCAGCCCTAGGGCTTACCAAAAAAAACAGAAGCTCTTCAAAGCACAAACCCTGTGCAACCAAGGCAGCATTCTCTACCTGAGTCAGCAAGCAGCCTGAAACAACAGCGGACTGCTCTGCTCTCACACACACATTTCCAGAGAGGGCTTCGCTCCTACAAACAGCCCATCTGAACAGCACTGTGAACGCTTTCAGTGCTGAGCAAAGCACCCGAGGTAGGAAAACGAGGCGCTGAGGGAAAAGCACAGGCTCTGGGGTGGAAGAAGCTGGAGTTTCTGAGCCTGGAGGATCAACTTGAGCTTTGAGCCCTGCTCTAGGACAGTGGAAAGATGTGAGAGTGACAGAGTCACTTTCTGTGGAGAGTCCTGTGAGATGCTATCTTCTTAATTTGCATTGCTGAGTTGTGCTGGGTGGGCGTCTTCTCTCTTTCAGTTTGCCTCCAGCACAGATGAAGCCCTCGTTGCTGCTTCTGGGTCACCTCTGGCTGCTCAGCCTCACACCTCTCCTGTGGACATCAGACTTCGCACGAGGTAAGAAGTAATTCCCTTCACCCATGCCAGGTGGGCAAGCAGAGAAGGGGGAGACAGCCAGAGAAATGTGTGTGCCAGGGTGTTGCTGTGTGATGTTCGTGTCCTAACCTACAGCCAGAGGAGGTTGGAATAGTTACAAGTCTCTTACAAGCACACCAGCCTCCAAAGATGGGGAGAAGTGAATGGCTCTGCCTTTCTTATTTGGAGAAAGCTCTCCAGCAGAGCCTGCCTGTAGTTTGGGATGGGGCAGAACTGTCTGAGATGATGGTTAATGCCAAACATCATTGCTAATTAAGCCACTTTGCTGTCTGTCTCTTCTCTGCTGGCAGGCACCTCCAGCCTCACTTGCTGGTATGACTCACGGGCAGCTCTGTTTTGTGACTGGAATCCAAGCAGGGACCTGGTTGAAGCATCCTGCCAGCTGGAGATTTTATCAAAGTTAGAACTTTGTGACAGGTGGGTGACTGGAGGGGCTGAGGAAAGATAATGACTTGAATGAAAATTGTCCTGGCAAGTTTCCAACTTAACAAAAATGTAGATTCCCCCTTTTCAGGCCAAGTGTAGTGGAGTCACAGAGCTGGGGAGCTTTGTCTTGAGCTTTGTCTCTAACCCCATATGGGCTGAGATGCTGACCACTGGTCAGTGCTTGTCATCTGCTGGTCACAAGCTATCTAGCATAGCCCATCTTCCAGCTCCATAGCTCTGTCTACATTTACCAAAAACCTCTGTCCTCCTTGGTGGACAGCTTCTGGAAGGTTAGGCATTTTAAGTGGACAAGGAGGGTGTAGATAGGGGGGCAGAGGAGTGTGGAGTTAGAGTTATCCAGAGGCCATTTTTCCATTGCCATGATGAGCTGGGATGTTGCACCCTGAGTAAGGAAAAGTGAAGGAAAATGTTGTTCCCCTTATCTTTCCCCTGGCCACACATTTCCTCTCCCACACATCTCCCAGCAGAGGGGTAAGTGTGTGGCCAGTGCACAGTGGGGGCTGGCTGAGTCTCTGGGGTCTCCCAGTGTGACATCTCCAGCTAAGAGGTGCCTCCCTGGGTGCCTGCCCTAAGGAGAGGCTCAGTGTGATTCTGGCAGAGGGTGGGTTGATCCTGACCCTCACAGGGACATCTCTATCAGGGTGATATGGGCAAATATATTCTGGACCTAGAAACCAAAACATTTAAGTTGCTCTGTGTGTGTGAATCAGAGTCTGGGGCTGGAATTTGGGCTGGATTTGGAAGTGTGCAATTGCTCTAGAACACCACTTCTCCCCACCATCAGCAAGTCTCCAGCTTGATCTTACAGCTGGAGCAGACAGCTCAGTCTCATCCCCCTTCAGCTGCAACTCCACAGATGCTCTCCCACCCTGTCACCCCCTGTGCCATAACCCAATTTAGAGAGCAATGAGAAGCAGAGAAGGTAGCAAAAGGGTTTTGTGAAGACTTAGAAACTGGAAACCTACTGTTATCTTTGGTGTGAAATAACTGGGATGCATTGATTCTCCATGTGCCAGCATGTAAAAATGGTCTGAGTGGTGCAGCAGGGAGAGAAAGTGGGATTACATCCTTGCTGTCACCCATTCAGTAAACATGGTAGGATGCAGAATGCTTTGAAAGGCCTTTGGTGCTACATAAAGTCTGATTAAATACAAAACAGCCTCTCCAGCTCACTGGAGTTCTCCTGCTTAAAATCCAGGTTATCTCACTTCCTTGAAAAATTCGGAGAGCACTGTGAATTACCCAAGGCAGAACACACGACAGGACTGAGGAGATGCATCAAGACCTTCAGTAAAAACAGTAATGTGAGTAATTTATCTGAGATGTCCTGGCTAATAACAAGGTAGAAAGGATTTGTATGTGAATTTTGGGCGTATGAACAGTGTGACACCCAGAAGCACATAAAAACCCCAAACCTACTCCCTGCCTCCAGCTCTGGAGTTGGGCTGGATGTTGTGTGTTGTGGATAAGCATTGCCCCTACGGGTTCTCCTTCAGGAGGCTGGGTTTGACCTTTTTTCCCTTGAAAAGGTCCAAGTACCATTTTCCAGCTCATTAACTATTGTGAAGTCTTGGTTAGACGTGTCAAATGCAAGATGCAACAGCAACACGTCCTCGCTGGAGCTAATGGTGATGCAAATCATCTGGCTGTTATTCTTTATTTAAATCAGTCTTTTTTTTAGACTCATTATGTACTTCCTTCAGTCCTATCCAGGGCTACCACAGTCCTTGTGTTTACAGAAAAAAAAACACCCAAAATATGATCTAATTCTCCTTATTGATAAAGTCTCAACCACTTCTAATGACTGACAAGCTTTCTTGTGTTCTCACATGTGAAAAGACAAAGGGCAGGTTAGATAAACAGCTCCAAAATCTTTTCTTTCCGACCCAGCTAATTTCCCTAGTGCTTATTTAATGCTGTAGGGTGTGTGTGGCCCTTTAGGATCACTGCATTTCAAGAGGGACATTTAATACTAAGTCATCTTAACGATGACCACAAAATGTTCTAGGAAAAATATTGTTTCTCACTAAATATCACTCACAGAAAACAACTTGTTCTCCTGTTAACTAGCCTATCACAACGTTCTGTGCCCTTCTTGCCAATGAACAAAAAAATATCCAAGCACGTGAAGCATAAATTTTGGTTCCTCACTCACCACTGAGGCTCTTGCCTCCCAGCCACAAATATCCCCCGTATTTATTGTCGAGTATTCCTAAACCTCTTGCATGTAGGCAATGCTCAGAAATAAAGATGCTTATTGATGAGTGTGACTAGTGATGAATTTTCCTTGCAGACTCAGTGCTTCACTGCTGCAGACCGTCTGACTCTGGCTGTCCACTGCCAGATTGGAGGGAACAGGTCTACACCTGTGCAAATAGAAGACTTCAGCCCCCTGGCAAACAGTGAGTACTAGCTCCCCATGAAATGAGAAGTTAATTCCTCTTCCCCACCCAACCCTGTGCAACACCCATAGCTGATTTTAGACTTGGGTCTTTTCCTTGTCCCCTGATACAACCTGCACAGATGAAGCATGTTGACTCCTGCCACTGGCACTTCCAGCAGGCAGTGTCACACCAGCCACTCCCAGTCCTGCCCAGCTTCTGGGATGTTGTTAAATGGGAATGTTTTGCACTAGAAGTTCTGGCTTGAGCCAGGCAATGACAGCTCAGCTGATGTCCTGAAAAATGCATGCTGCAAGAAGGAGGGAAACTCTTCCCCTGCTCCTCCTACCAGATCTGTGTTTCCATCCTCCTTTAAGCCAGCTTGCTCATGCATCAGCCTTTGCTGAAAGGACTCAACTCACTAACCCAGAAGAAAAACATCTGCTTGGATCATCTTTTTTTGCTGGATGTGTGAGTTTGCATGGCTCGGGGAGACATCTAACAGAGCTGCTGCAAGGTGACACATGAGCAGGCATGGCTGGAGTCAGGGATTGGGGAGGATCATCCTTAACTGTGTAAATCCATCCCCTGTGGCTGAAGCTCTCTCAGAGAACAGCTGGGAAGCAGCTATCTTCACACAGCATGGAGGTATCAGCCCTGCTCCTTCTTTCTTCCCAGTAAAGCTGAGGCCTCCAGGAAATCTCCAGCTGGTTAGCAAAACTGAAAACACCTACAACTTAACGTGGAGCCTTAATATTTCCTCTCACTACTTGGATGGGGAGCGGGAATACCAAGTGCGGTACCGAACCACGAGTCAGTCCTGGGAGGTGAGTACAGAGGGTGGTGCTGGGACCTCTCATGGTCTTTTTTACATCATCCACGACTTGCTCCTGGGCTTCCTCTCAGGACAAAACCAGCTTTGGTGAAGCTGGAGAGCAAATGACACCCCCTCACTCCTATACCTGTATCACCTGCTGCCAGCGTTGGGTGATGACATGGAGACAGATGGGGATGCTTTTTTACTTAGTGCTGTCACAAAGAAATCCAAACAGGTCCAGGAGAGACCTGAAAGGGATGAAAAAAAAACAAAGCAAAGAAAAATTTTCCTCCAGTGTGAACGAACAGTGCATGAGGTGTAGGGATGTGAGACAGGTCCTCTCCGAGGGCCTAGGAAGAGATGGGAACGTGAGTCTGTAAGCCAGGGTGCTGACGATGCTCTCATTTTTCTCTCCTTCCAGGAGGCCAGGAACTTCACCATTGTGCAGGACCAGATGTGGGTGGTGTTTGAGAGCCTCTTGCCTGATCTGAAATACGAGGCAGCTGTTCGGGCAAGGCCAAGTGCCTCCAGCACCTACAGAGGCGTGTGGAGCGACTGGAGCGAGACCACCGTGTGGAGGACACATGCTGACCGTGAGCATCACTCAGGCAGCCTGACCTGCAGGGCAAAATGGGGACTCAGGGAAAGCAGAAGCACCAAAGCATGAGGAAGAGGGATAGGGAGGAGTGTTCTGACAAAGAGCAATAAAAGGTTGGAAACAATCTGTCCCTCCTAATCTGTTAGGTCAAGCTGTCTTTTTAAGGGTAAAGACTTGACCCAAACAGAGCCCCTCTGACTTCCAGAAGCCAGGTAGAACCTCAAGATGTAAATCAGGGACTGCTTCCTCCAGAGCCAGATGGCTGACCTGCAGAAACAGTGGCCAGGACTGACATTTCCTTAATGTGACCTAGGAACATAAATCCATCTTTCTACAAGGGCTCATTTGAACCATAGACCAGTGAAATGCAGTGAAACAAAGTGCTCAGCTCCTGAACCAAAGGACACCTGAGCCTAGGAAGCCAAGCCCATGGAGAATGAGACTTACACCCATGTTAAGCCCCTTCCAAAAAAGTTCTGCTGAGGCTTCCATCAGTAATTGCCACGGACCACAGCACAGGGGACACCTCTGGCCTTGGAAGATAGTGCCCTGAGCAAGTCTGTTTGGTGAGCCGTTGGCTGTGGCCTCTGTAATTTCTTTCCCAAAAAAATCAGCCCAGAGAGGTTACTCCTTCTCATGTCACCCCCTCTCTGCCCCTGCCCAGCCCCTCCCCGTTGTGCCTGGTGATGGCATGAACAGAGGAGCTATGTTTAGAAAGGGCACCGTGTTGCTGTGGCATCAAATTTTGACAGTATGTGATGTCAATGAATAGGAGACAGCTGCAACCAGTTGTCATAGCAACCAAGACCCAAAGATAACCAGGGTACCAGAGGCAGAGGAGACAAAGTGATCTGAGCAGCATCTCAAGGACAAGCAAAGAAAGAACGTCCTAAAAATGTCTCCTCCTTTTTATTTTTCTCCTTTCCCTCACAACTACTCCAAAGATGCTTTGCAGGCCCAAAGGACATCAGAGTTGACAAGGGGGCAGGCAGAGGAGACATGCACCAGAGCAGCAAAACCAAGCAAAGGTGTATTGGGGAGATAGGTGTGAAATGGCTTAAGAAAAGTTTGAGGTGATGCCAGATGAGCCTGAGGAGTGCTGGCAGTGCTGGGAACTCAGTCTCTCCTAACCCTGCCATCCAAAAAGCTGTATCCTTCCTAGCCTCCTAAAGCTTTCCTACACTTCTCCAAAGAAAGAAACTAGTCCCTTGACCCCTAACTTCCTTCACCCTTGGTCCTCCTGCCTTCTCAAAGACCTTTGAACCCCATGACTCTGTCTCACAACACTTCCAAGTCTCCCATCCTACTGAAGCAGACTCCCTGTTTTCCTCTGCAATGGGACAGGCAGGTGGATGGACTCTTCAGCCAGCAGACTGTGGCACCTCACCCGTGGTGCTGCTAGGAACAGGGATTTCAAGCTGTTTGGCACAAATTACCTACTGACACCAAGGAGACTCTGAAACAGCTCAAACACATCCTGCACAACACTGCAGAACTCATTTATCTGACCTGTATATGATAATTGTCTAATATTATATAACATCACAACGAAACCCCTGTGTTTCATCATTAAAATAAAAGCCCACACTGATCACCTTGAACAGGCATGGAAGGACTGCAGCTCCTACCTCCATCCTGGCTAAATTTTCACAGCAGGTACCTTGTTGTCTCTCCTCCTGCAGGAACATCCCATCCAGTCCTGCCAGTTCTCATAGCCAGCACCTGCATCTTCGTGATCATTGGAACTGTCTTCCTCATTAACACCAGGACTCTGAAATGGTAAATGAGAATCAGATTTTTCCTCTCTGCTCCTCTCCTGTATCTTGTGTTTCTCAAAATCCAGGTTGTTCTCACTTGGTGTTAAGATAGAGAGTAACTGAAAACTATGGCTTGTAGTTCACCCTTGGGGCTGATGTTTGTTTCAAGATGGTGTGACCTGGTGCTGAATTAAAACCAGCAGCCTCAGCACTTCTGCTGCCCAGGGTTTGAAGTGGTTTAAATGTTTAAAATCTTAAAAAGCAGGCCACTGGGTTGAGCAGTCCCTCAGTAGAGAGGACCAAGCAAGGTTAGATACCATCACCTTCTCATTTCAACCCTCTGGCAAGAGCTCAGCCAGGACATGATGACATTTGGTCTGTAGGCAAAAATTCTGAGTGAAGAGTGTAATTCTTACCCCTCCTGGTCTGTGTAGTCCTGAAGTGTCTCATTACCTGCTGGTAAATACCTCCATGATGCTTTAGAGATCTCTTTGCCAGCATTTCTACCCAGACACTACTTTTATTGATGACTGAAAGTGTCTCACAAGGTTACCAAGTGTAATAATACAGAGAGTGACATGTCAGAATAACAAGGTTAGAGATGGCCACAGGTTTTCTCATCTCAGAATGGGGACAAAGAAGAAGAGTGCTGATATTCATGGCAGGGAGCAGGGGGAAATAGTCTCAGGGATGAGGCAGCAGAGGCTCCATGGCTACTCCTTGAGTAAAGAAGGAGAAGCTTGAAGGTAGATGGGTATTGAGAAAGTCACTGGTCACTGTGGTTTACCTTGAGTCCTAATAAAAGAGGAGGAGGTGCTAAAGAGAGATAAAAAGCCCTCCTTATAATTAACCTCGGGAACTAGCTGGAGGAGAATGCTGAGGTAAGATACAAGGAAGGATTAGACATGCATGAATAAAAATAGCATCTGCAGGGATGTGAGGTGGTTGATATGCAAGAACTAGCAAATTCTGATGCTTCAGAGAGTACACTGATTGCCTGCAGAGGTCAGGAGGGTCTTTGCTCCCAGCATCCCCCAGCAAAGCTTCAGAAAGGAGCTGACAGGATCAGCCAACCTCTCCAAGTGACTGAGGAGCAGATTAGATCACTTCATGCTGGAGCTTGGAAACAAGGGAAACTCGTCCAGCTTGTCATCAGAACAGGGGCTTAAGGGGACAGGTGGGGAAGTTAAGGTGACTCAGTGAGGCTTGTTCTTATTCTACCTCTCCTCCACACCCATGAGCTGTGACGCTCTCTCTTGCCCTCACCACAGTGCCAAATTGGTCAGGCTCAGGCCCTGCTTCATTCCTCCTTCTCGTTGTCTTTGCTCAAGGTTTAAGAAGATTCTGAAGATCCACATCCCAGACCCTGAGAAGTTCTTTTCCCCACTCATTTCAGTTCACGGAGGTGACATTCAGGTATGGGGCTGGGGTTGGAGCCTGTGGTTATGAGGGGGAGAGGAGGGAAAGGAGGGTCCAGCTACACTTGCCTGGGACAGACAGACAGTTCTCAGGTCTCTGTGTTCCTGTAGCACCAACTGCTGGGTTCTGCTCGACCTTCTAAACCCTGAGGCATCTCTAATTACAGAACTGAGAAACAGCAAACCATGCAAACCTCAGCACCATGACAGAGGAAACAAGGGACCTGCAGGAGGGAGCTTGGCCTCTCAGACCCCCTTCTGCTCCCCTTCAGTCCCTCCCTGCCTGCCCTAAGCTGCCCAGCTTGCCCCTAGGTTTCCCCCTGTGATCGCCTCCTCCTGGCTTTGAGCCTTCCCTCTACTCCAAAGGTGAATTGCCATGGTGCTGGATGGCACTTGGCTGTTTTCTGCATTCTTATCTCTTCCCCTTCTTTCTCCACCCCCACTTTCTCCCTTCCTCTAATCTCTCGGAGAGCATGGGCAGCTGCAAGGAGACAATTACCATTCTGGGCACTGTTAAAGGGAGTGTCAAATGCAAGACGTGAGAGGTGACTCCCAAGGGGCAGCTGGCTTTAAGAAGGATGGAAATGAACCGCAGAGGGTTCAGAGGACAGCAAAGCTTTGAAGAAACCCAAGTGCCAAAAGCCTTAGGAAGCTTAAATTACAGTGGAAGAGTGCAGAGTAAAGGGGCAGGAGTGTGCAGCGGGCTTTGAAGACACTTTTTCAGTGCAGAAAGAACTAGAAAAAAATTGTTTTACTGGCCAGGAAGGCAATGAAATGGAATGTTATCAAAAGCAGTTTATTTTTAAGGGTAAGGATGCACTGTAGGATGTCACTCAGAGTGTGGAAATCTAGGCACCAGGGACCTGGAAGAGCACTTTAGACAAGAAATCTGCACAGGGCTATGTTGTTGTAAAAGAAGCTGGTTCAGCACCTAGGAACAGACTGCATAAAATATCTCAGTACTGCTTTTCATGTTTCTACCTTCACTTCATCTTATGGTCTAGTAAGGTTATTTTTCTTCTTTTCACTTTAATCCCCCATCTTTTGCTCCCTCCCCCCCTCCAGAAATCTCAAAACATAGGCTTGAACGATCTGCTTTTGATTTCAAAGTGACAGAAAGATATAGTTTCTCTGAAAATCCTGCAGATAAGACACCAGGAACGTGAGTTTCCCTCCCCACCACCTCTGGCAGCTCTTGCCTGGGCAGAGGAAAGGTCATTTGGTTGCTGTGGGCATTCAGAAGAAGAAACCTTTGGTTCCTCACGGAGTTTTATTATCCTTTGGGCATAACAGTACCTCTCCTGTGTTTCTTCCCCACCAGAAATGGCTCTCCTCCCCATTCTCCACATCTTCCTACTGTGTGAACAGCACAACCCCTGAGATCTCCATGCTCGAGGTGATACAGAAGAATGACCCAGAATCCCAGTTCCTACTTTCCAAGGGAAGCCTGAGTCCTGATCCCCTCATAGAAACCAGTGGGCACTCTGTATCCAGCTGCTTCACCAACCAAGGCTACTTCTTCTTCCACCTTTCCAACTCCTTCGAGATCGAACCCTGTCAGGTCTACTTTACCTACGAGCCTTTCACCCAGGAGGGTGGTGTCAGTGAGGACGGAGAAGCTTACCATGCTCTCCCCTCCCCAGACCTCTGCACACTGGCAGAAGACATGCCTGTGTTGTCCCAGAACTTCCTTCACTGTATCAAGACAAGCCGCATCTTCCAAAACAACTCCTTGCAAGAGACAGAAAGTGAAGCCCAGCAGGCCGTGGCTATTTCTGGGGCTCTGCAGTCCAGTGAAGCCACCTCGCCACCACCAGTTCTGACACAGCATGAGAAGATAACGGACAAAGTGGCTTCACAACCTGCTGAGGCCCTGTGCCAGCTGGACACTGACATTCCTGATCCACCAGACGTGGAGGATAGCGATACCCTCCATGCAGCAGAGGGGAGTGGGAAGGCAGACCCTTCAGCTGACCCCTGTGCACCAGAAGAACATGCTACCTCTTCTTTCTCTCACCCTCCACCCCTAAAACAAAGCCAGGGTGAAGCTCCATGCAGAACAGCCTGCCCGAGCCAGGTCCCAAACACTGGTGCCTACTTTTCTCTGAGGGACCTCCAAAGCCAGTACAACCATCGCTCTGTCTAGGATTTACCAGTTGGAGACCCACAGCTAGGAAAGGCCTCTGCAGGGAAGGCTAGATAGCTTTTCAATTCATGACATGAACGTGCCTCCAGCATCACACCCATTTGGACTGCTCTTTAACGAGGCTGAGGAACACAGTTACTCTAGAGGGCTGCAGGAGCAGAAGAAGGGTAGCAGGCACGAGGTGCAAATTTGTGGATGTCTTCATGGGTAGCACTGCTTCCCAAGGTGAAGCAGGCTGCTGGAAACAAGAGGACATGTTGAATGGAGAACTGGGCTAGCAGACAGTAAAGCAAGACACAGAGAATTATAAAGGCATGTTAAAGCTGTTCAGTGGCCATGTAGCTCGTGGAGATGTAGAAGCCTGATTCCTAGGCATCCAGGCCAACAAGGACTCACCTTGGCAATTGAACCTTTTTTTCTGGATCTACTGGCACAGAAACTCCTTCCCACACTGCTCAAGTGCCCTTAGGAACCTCACCAGCTTGTGTTTGCATCCCCAGCTCCTGTGAGGAGGCTGTGCTGCACTTCCACGCTCTGCATCTCGGTGTAAAACAGCACTCAGCTTTGGGGCTGAGCAGTCCCGTGGTCCTTTGGCCTCATCCCAGCCTAAAAAACCTCTAACGGGAGGGAGAAATGCCTGAAGAGGTGGATGTGAGGTTGTGTGGAAAGGACAGCAGCCTGTCAGTGCTGGGGCTGATGATGAAATGGATGAAGACATCTCTTCCTGACTGACCAAGGGTGGGTTTTTTTTCCTGTGATAGCCTCACTGCAGCATTGAGTCAGAGATTACATTCTGAGCCTCTCGCTCGAGATTCAACTCTCTGAGATCATCTCAGAGCCACAACTGTGTCAGCTGTCTGAGCAGTGTGAAAAGAAATCCCCATTATTGGGTTAAAAACCACGGGGGAAATCCCCTCCCCCTCCTCCTCCTCCTTTCCCCCCGAGGTCTGATGATGGCAGTCAAAAAGAACACACACCATTTCCCATTCTTGCTGCAATATTTTTCATGAAATCGAAAGTCTCTCTGCCCTGCTGGCAAAATACAGCTATTTGACTATGATAAGCTGATTGCAGAAGAGTTCATCCCACATCCTGTATTAGTGGAAAACATCACAGCAGCACTGCCCATTCCTTCCATTGCTCAAGGGAAACTGTTGCCTAATTAGTCGCAAAGATGTGGTGAAGGAGCCCAAAAAACGAACCCACGAATCAGCACCTTTGCTGAAAACAAAAAAAACCTTCTGTCTACTTTCAAAGAATAAAGATAGCAAAGGTGACTTTTTTTTTTTTTGGTTTTTCATCTGCATTTGCTGATCTGGCTTGAGAAAAAGCAGCATGGGACAGAAGAAAAGGGGCATGGTGAAGGAAGAAAAGCTCTTCTGGTTACATCCATCCCTGTGTTCAACATCTGTACTGTCTGTCTCCTTCCTTGCTGTATTTCTGGACTATTCAGCAGTAGGAAAATACCAGCCCTGTGTTAAAGATCTTTCTTCTAAGAGTTTTAGATCGAAAAGGTCAAGGATAGCAAACTTCTCAGTGTTCCCCTCTCCCCTGTGAATCTCTCCCAGAACTAACCCTTCCCTACCTCTGTCTGTACAAGTGTGGAGCTTCCCCTTCATCCTGGTCCCACAGCGTTACCTGACCTCGTGTTGTGCAGCCCGAGTGTCTTTATGAGTCCCAGCAACGAGGTCACACACTGGCTTGGATTTCATCTCAGAAGAGCTGTTCAAAAGAGTTGAATCTACCTGCAGCCAAGAGGACTACAGAGTTCTGCTGCTGCTCTCATCAGCTTCTTCACCCTCTGCATCAAGACATGGACAGCTCTGTTGCCTGCGGGGGACAGCAAGTGGAGAAGACCCCACAGCTTCCCAGATAAGGAAGCACAAGCCTTGGCCAGCTGTCTGCTGTACTTTGAGAGGCTTCCTAGATGGACATCAAAAAGAGATGCTGAATCCCTGGCCACTGATGGGCAATTTGCTCTCACATGGGCCAAGGATCCTGGTTGTACGGATGGTTATCCAATGTAAATCTTAATAAGCTTTTTAATGACTCTTGCTGCTAAGATGAGTACAGAAGAAAAGCATTGCCTCTTTGAAAATAAAAGAAATATTACACAATATACGGTGCTTTTCTTTTCTTTGGGGTGGGGGGAAAGGATTGAAAACGTTTCTAAACAGGGGAGGAGGCAAATCTTTGCTCAGACCAAAACACCTTTAGACCTCCTTCCTACTCCCTTCCCCAAGGGACTCGGCCACCTAAAGCAGAAAGCAGAGTCAGAGGTGACCCCTGAGGACCATCCTCCTGGCTGAGCTTTTTTCCCCCTTTTTGAGAGAATGCTGACAGCTTTCAGGCTGGCGAGCTGTTAGCCCTGCCTCCATCACCACCCTGGGTGTGAATCCGTGACACACGGTGGCAGGAAGTGCTTGACACCAGATGTGGCGATAACCTGGACCTTTCTTCCAGGAAGACAAGATCATGTGGTCTCCTGGGTGAGTAACCGAGGTGGTGAATGCCAAAGGCACCATTCTCTCAGTAATATGGGACCTTTCTTCTGCTGGCTTCCCGAGACCTCTTTGGAAATGCCACGTAGAGGGTGGTCCACCCTCGAGCTGATGGGAACGCCCAGTCTGTGGTTCACAAAACCACAGAAAGATGCTGGGATGGTGTCCACCAGAGGCAAACCAAAGCTGAACACCACGCCGTTTGGAACATACTGAGCCAAAAGCCACAGGCACGACTCCCCTCTTTATCTTGAGCCCAGAGACAGCAAAGATAGCTGTCGCATCTCTCATCTCCTTCTTTCCAAGATACCTTCCTTGTAAACATCCAGCACCACTCTCAGCCCCCTCCCACAGCCCTTCCTTCTTTTTTCACCGTGGAGGAGCAGAAAGTAAAGGGTACTTGCAGTAAAGGAATTCCTGTGAAGTCAGATCTGATCAATGTTTTGAGTCTTTGGTTGATTCAAAAGCCTGCGGTGGTAGATGTGGTATGTTTACTTAGATAGACTAGATTGAGATTCTGTATCTTTTTTGTTCTGCTGAAAATACCAAAGAAGGAGGATGCTTCTTTCCAAGAAAGCTGGATACAAAAAAGGTAAGGTCTCTGGCACTGGGAAATACCCTCAGCTGGGTTCTGGCCCACTGAGGCAGCCTCGCACAGGGCAAGCTTGGAAAGACATATACAAATATATGCCTAAAGATGCAGATAGTCCCCAGTGATCTGGGGAAATTTTGGATCAAAACAACTTTTACAACTGAAATCTGATCTCTTCAATCTCTCAGCAATTCTGAAAGTATTTCTTGTTGTCATTGCATGCCTCAGTTTCCCCTCTCTACAGCAATGAGGTAGCTGGGATAACCACACCGACACATTCCCAGTCAAACTGCAGCTTTTCATCCACATTTAACATTTATCTACTAGAATCCACTACGAGGCAACTACAACAATGGCTTTTGGTCTTCATGCAGTTCCAGTCTAAACCAGTGGCAGAGCTGAAAACCGCTCTCCCTGCCAAGCTGCCAAAATGAGCCCAAACAAGCCCTGGCCCAAATGAGCTCCACCCCAGGTGAATACCACTGGCTGGAGCTCAGCCCCAGGTCAAGAATCGCTCCTGGTCTTATCCTCTCCACCCATTTATTGACAGAATAACTCTATTTACTCAGCTGTAGCTGCTTTTTGTGAAAAGCAAAGGGGCATACAGAGAGCTGCAGGGTGGAAGCAGAAGAAGGTGGTGCAGGCAAGGCAGAGGTGAGGAGGACCTGGGGCTAGAAGAGACAGATGCTGCAGGGAGGAGTGAGTGGCTGTGCAACAGAGTGCTGGGAGCCCAGTGTCAGGAGTCTGGGCAGCAAGAACTACAAGCCCAGAGGGAGCCTTGCAGGTTGGTACTGAGAGACGCCGTGATTTGCTTTCATCTGCATGACCACTGTGGTAACAGGACCCACTGTCTACTGTCATCTTCCCTCCTTCAAGTGATCTGCACCTGCCAGTCAGCTGCTGCTCCATCCCCGTGCTGGGGAGCACACGTCCTGCCTGCTGCTTCTCTCTCCAATGGGACCAAGGAAGGTAGCTGAGAAACACAGCAGTTGCTCAGCAACTCCCCATCCCCTGAGGAGGACAACGTGAGCTATCTGCACCAGCCTCCTGGGTCGTTCTTCTCTGCACAGCTGGAGGTGTTCCCACCCTCACTCACCCAGAGGATCTCCCACCCCTGCAAGCTTCTGAAACCTCCACTGCAGAAAAAAAAAGCCATTGTACAGGGTGCGCTGACCCATCGTGGCAGGACAAAGGCCGAGCTGAAGGGAGATGGCATCAGGTTATTGATTGCTGAGGAGACCTTGAGCTTGGGTAAATAGATGTCCTCCTCTCTCCCCGCCTCCACGTGTGTGAGCTGGCTTGTGTAGGGGGTGTGGGCCAGGCCCCACGGGCAGCAGCGGGCTCCAAAGGTAGGTTTGCAGCTCTGGGGGAAACCCCAGTGCCTACCACCAAACCTTCTAACAAAGAGGCTCTTCTGCTGCTGCTTCCTGCCCTCCTTCCCCCACTATTCTGTCTGTGGTTCTTTGCTTCTGCCTGCTGGTTCGGAAGGGATGCCGTGGCAGCAGAGAAGTGCCCTGATTGCTTGGAGTGCACGGCTTGGTGCAGTCGCTGGGCAGGAGACCCTCCCCAGTGTGTTTCCACGTTGCAAGGCAGCCTGGAGGGCTTGGGGCTCACTAAGTCGGGGAAAGCAAGGAGACTGAGAAGCCCAATATCTTGTGAAAGCCCCATGGCCCCCCTGAGGGCTAAAATGTGCATGAGGCAAACCATCTCTTCCCACATCTGCAGCAAGTCCCCCCCATGCACTCATGCCCCCCGGTGACTGGTCATGAAGATGCCTCATAGGCATGGACAGGGCACGGGCATTCCCAAGAGCTCTGTGCCATTCCAGGTGGATTCATTCCCACCCCTTTCCCCTCAAGCCACAGAAAGCCTTTGGGGGCAGCCATGGGCTGGGTGGTGGCAAAGAA